GCCTCCATACTCTTGGTTACATCGGCAACCACGAGCATATCGGTCCAATCTTTGTTTCGCTCTAAAACATTTTCCACTGTGTGATCATAATTCTTCTGTGAACCACTAATAATATCGTCCAATTCTTTTGTGTCTCTACCTGAAGAGGATAAATTAGATCATAAATAGTTCATTTGATTTCTTAGATTTTTACAGAAAATCATAATTTCTGAGGGTGGGTGGTCCCTTAAATGACTTTAGTAAAAAGTGTATTTAAAACAAATTCAGGAATATAAACCTGCAATACGTTTAGATCACTGTTAATTATGATTATTCCCTGAAAGAATAAGTATCGCTTCGTTTCAGTTAATAGACTAACGAGGAAAGGTTCCCGAGTGTGCAATCGCTTTTTGCTTGAACTCTAATGGACAATAGGTAATCGATTGCGCTAAATCCGAATCTGATATCGGTTTGTGTTGCTAGGCCTCCAGAGACCGGTTTTATGGAAAAATAACCAACACCTTTCTTAATGATGCATGATTGTAGACAGCAAATTTCTGATTAAGATGAGATATCTCCCAGCTCTACACGACCTTTCTTTGCAAAATTATAGAATTCACAAGAAACGCCCTAAATTTTCATTGTCAGCTCAAAGCTACAGAAATAAGAAATTAATTTAGGGCTTTTCGTATAAATTCTATAACTTTGTAAAAAAAAGGTCGTGTAGAGCTGGGAGATATCTCATCTTAATCAGAAATTTGCTGTCTACAATCATGCCTCATTAAGAAAGGCCCATGAGACACACTAGACTAATCACTTGTAATGTATATATATAGAAATATATAAGTAACCTGAAAACTTACCAGAATTATGTTGTTGACAATTCACTCCTGAATAGAATTTCGGACATACGCAGATGTATGTCTTTCCATTAGGTTTACATACACCATCATTCAGACATAGAGTAAGATTTGAACAGGGATTTGATCCTGAAAACAAAATTAATAGAAGTCAAAAATACAGTAAACTTTCCTTGAATATCCGAAACTTTGGGTACCTAAAGCTCCAGTTACACCGGCACCAAGACCGCCACCCAAAACTCCACCCATACCACCGCCAAGAGCTCCTCCAACTGCTCCACCAATAACGCCTCCTAAACCACCCAGGGCAGCTGAACCTAAACCACCTAGAAGAGCACTTCCATATGATCCACCAAAAAGACCTCCAACTGCGCTCCCGACAGCACCCCCTACTGCTCCTCCAGCACTAGCTCCAGTTGCTCCACCAATACCACCGCCGGCTGCTCCACCAGTACCACCTCCGACTGCTCCACCAACCCCACCATCGGTAGCTCCGTCGAGCATAGCCAAACGTTTAACTAAAGAACAAAATAAAAAGAACATAGGATTATGCTCATGTTCATAGCCGTCCGTTTCTTCATCGAATCAGATTGGATATGATGTTAAGTTCTAGTGAAAAAAGTCAATGGAGCTGCTTTTGTATCGAATTTGTTGAAAAGAAAAAACCCATAGATTCCATGCTTTCTTTAATGAAGTCAACGATATCATTTAATCCAAACTCAGGAAAGATACGGATAGTGGAACTTTTCTGGAAACGTTCGAAGATTTTTGCATCGAATACTGGAGCGTAATTCGTGCTGAACTACGTTTTTAGAATAATAAAAAACAAACTATTCACTCATACCTGGTGTAGTTGATGCATATGACACTAAGATAACCGCAATAATGAATGATTTCAACATTCTTCTATTCTGCTTGTCTGATATAATATATAAGTTATAGAAACCAAAATATGATCGAATGACTTTCAGTAACGAATATCGAGTATTTATATGTTTTCTTTCGGAGCTTTTATCTCCCTTTTTTTCGTCAACAAAGGGCTTGTATTTACAAAACAATTGTCTGTGTTTGTGTGAAGTGTGACTGTGAAAACAACGAGAGAACCAGATTGTTCTATTTAATCTTGATCGTCGTTCAAGGTTATATCTGACGGCAATAGTATACACAAAACATTTTTTCTATCGACATAGTTTATTTATAAATGACTAGTTTATACTTCACAATCTTCACCCATACTACAGGACGTGATTTGTAAAGAGTAGGATACGTGTGATCTATAAAAAATCCAACTGTAAAAAAAAGAAATCGATAGGCAAGATATGTTTAACATACAAGAAAGAACAAAACCGGGCGGCATTCAATAGAATGAGAAAAAAGGATAGACGACAGTTTGACTTGTAGCAATTGTAGCTAAATTGTTAAATATATACATATCTATACATAACTCGACTATCGTGGACTAAACAACAACAACGATGCACTAGATGAATATTAAGTTGATAATGTGTAATCGTCGAGTTACCATAGTAGAAGAAGAAAGTAAAAGATAAGATAATCTGAAAAAAGCAAGACGAGACAAACTTTGTTATCATTAGATAAAGATAAAATGAACAGGAGTTAAAAATCTCTTATGAAAGATTTAAAAGATGATCAAACATGAGATAGAATCAGTTGGAAGAAATCGGATCAATTTCGTATTATTTTGTAATAACTCGGTGATTTTTATCCTAGAAATCTAGAAAATGTTAACATTTTGCTACCGATTGACGTAAAATTATTTTAAAATTCATATTAATTACTTATCTGTGATTAGAATTAAATGAGTCCTATCGCTCTAATCCGATTTACTCCAATTGGGGGAATATGTATCAGTCAAGCAACATACGACACAGTAAATCGGAGCAGAGCGATAGGACTCATTCAATTCTAATCACAGATAAGTAATTAATATGAATTTTAAATAATGTTTACATCAGCCGATAGAAAAATGTTCACATTTTCTACCTGTGAAGAAATAGTTGATATGACGTAGTTATATAATTAATAGTTGATATGAAAAGTTGAATATGACTTAAATATGAAATATGTTCATAGAAATTGAATTTACATGCAACAACGAGCACAATAACTCGACTTCTTTTCTTGATGTATTATTTAAACGTCCAAGTACAGATGATTCTACTACTATTTTTCGAAAATCCACATATACAGATTTACTTTAAAGTGGAAGTCATATGTTCCGGTGTCAGATAAATGATCTGTTATAACAGATATGATACATCGTGCTTTGCACATCTGCTCTTCATATCGTTTATTACATTGCAGACTAAATAATATTAGACGGCTTCATATTGTCAGAACTGATTGGAAACTCAATGGAGCACGTTTTAGTTTCTGTTTCGAGTTTTTAACTATTGCTGTTCATCACTTTTTCAGAAAACTCACTTTTTCATTGTGTCACATTATGACTTCCTGTAAATTTAATCTGACCGAGTTAAACATTTTACGAGATGTCCTCAAAGTCATTCCACAGAGAGAATTTTTACGAAATTTTTTAAGACCTTTCCTGATCGAGTTATCGGAATAATACTGAAAACCCTATATATAGAAATCGTATAACTGGGTAAAGAAAAGTCTAAAATAAAATTCCAAAAAGCTATCTTTGCAAGTCTTAAGCACCTCTAATAGAATTTTTAACTCGATCGGATGAAATTTAAGCGAGGCGTAATGTGACATGAGATGAGTAAGAAAATGCGTCTTTTGCTTTTTCAAAAATATTTTTGAAGGAGAAAATTGAAAAGTTTTGGAGACTGCTCATTATTCAAAAAAATGCTTACGAGGGAAGCTCACCAACTGCCACCTCGCTTTTTAGCTCTAAGCTAGTGGGTAATAGGTAAAAAAATGGGCTGAATCCGAATATGGCAATGGTTTTGGCCGCCAGGCCTCCAAAGACTGGATTTCTAGAAAACCAGTTTTTAGAAACTCCAAAAACTCTCCAAAACTTTTCTTAATAAGTTAAAATTGTAGCACGCGAGATTCTGATCAAAATGAGACATTGGCTAGCTCTACATGACATTTCTTTGTAAAGTTATGGAATTTACATGAAAAGCCCAAATGTTCATTGTCAGCTCAAAGCTACAAATATAAGAGGGAA